CCCCCCACACACAAGCTTTTATCATCTAGTGTAATAACAGGAAGCCAGACCTATCTGAGGGGTAGAGAACCAAGGAGCCAGTTACATCACTAGGAAAACATGAGGGGATTCCTGAGCGTTGATTCTAATTAGAAGCTTCCTGAAGGCAGAGAGATTTCCGTTCAGATTAAAGGAGGCGCTTGATGCAGTGGGAGTACAGAGGCACCTCTTGGCAGAACTGGTGGCAGAACAAGCTATTGAGCAGTGAACCAGAGCAGGGCTGCAGAGCCAGCCGACCAGACATTTTGCTGGGTGCTAAATTTAAACTGGTGACCCTATTGATATTGCTGTGAAATGAAACAGGAGAATCTCCACTACATCAGAAAAGTGCGTGGCTCTCAGAGGAGTGAAACATTTGGATATTTGAGATGGATCCTCAGATTAAAACCATTTATTTTGGCATCCCCACATACTGAGACTCATAAGCCACAGGACAGCAAGGATAGATACATCTGAATTCCTGTCACAATACAATAGAATTAATTACCATTACAATGGGCTAATACTAGTGTTTAGAAATAATAAATACGTATGTCTCTCTTCATTTCAAAAAGGAATTGAAGGGGTTTGCAAATGTATTTGCCAGGCAACAAGATAAAAATACAAGAGATAATAGAGAGAAAATAAAAGTTGAAATAATAGGGCGAAGCCATAGGAAAAGTCCCAAAGACTCTACTTACCAGTGGTGTGCTGTGTACTTGGGGCTCAGAATCTTAGCAGTTAATGCATTTCTTCCCTAAAGGAAAGTTTTAAGCTTTCATATGATAAGGTAGCATCTCTGAGACCTAAAGCTTATATTGAGAGGCTTATCCTGTTTGTGAAAAGGATTTTGAATATTGGGACATTCTGTGTACTTTCATTCATGTTGATTGCTTTCAAAGGAAGTCCGTTGAAAACAAAGGCTGAAAGCAAAACACCAGCCCAAAGACCTCTGGCAGAGCCTCTGAGGCTGCATTGCTAATGCACCAGTGAGGTCAGAAAATTTCCTCTCCTTGGAAAACATAATTGTCATTTATTATTTCCTTTCAGGAAAGGTTTTCCTCTCTGCCAGCCCCCAGACACCCATTTTCCCCAGACACACTCTTTCATTA